AATGTGAATATGAATGGCCCCCTTCACACCTGCTACCTCTTGAAAGGGTAGAATGGGATAAATGATCTGGGGAGGTATAGGGTGAGAAAGAATGGGAGAGGGTGTCTGAGGGGAGAAAAGGGTGGGTTTGAGGAGAGGACTGGATTGGAGGAGGTAGAGCTGGCTGCCAGATGTTGAAAAGAAGGAACACTTGGAGAAGGGAAGGGCTGCTGGTTGGGAAGTTGTGGGTTTGATTGAGGTTGTTGAGGAAGCTGGAAGAAACAGCAGGAGGGAATTCATCAATGGGAAGGTGTGTGGCGGTAAGGGCATGATATTGTTGTGTCAGAAGTGGGGATAGGAGTTTTTGTGGGGATAGAATTTTTTTGTTTCGCAAGAAAAATTTGAAGCAATGAGAGAGTAGGATAGAGCGAAGGTTGCTCACAGAAGATTAAAAAAAAAAAAAAGCTTAGCTATAGGGAATCTCTGAACATTTGCCATTCCTCTGGAGGAAGTTATCAAGGTCTTGGAGATTTGGATATCAAAAGTATCCTTACCCAGCCAGTATGACCCATTATTGAGTCTGTCCTGGGGCCACATGGAAGTGGAGTAAAAGATTAAGTTTTTTGGTTTAATGTCTCCTTTCAATCCCAGTTTGGAAAGATTATGCAAGAGATAGCTGAGGGCAGTGTTGCTTGATGTTTTTGAGGAGAATTGCCTATTGTAGGGGAATAAAAAAGGTGGCTGAGGTTGAGAAATGGCTTCCGGAGGAGATTGTCTTGCACGTAGAAGGGAAGCATCCCCCCAGTCAGAGTGCAGGAGGACCCCTTTTTGTGGTGTTCTCAAATAGAGAATGGGAAAGGAGTTAAAAGGTCTAGCAAGGTAAAGTGGAACAGTGGGTTGGTTGACTTTATCTGGGTACCAAGTCCATTGGGACAGAATCTTACCCTCCCAGGAATGGTGATGGATTACCAGCTGGTGGTGAATGTCTGGTTTGAGTTAGAGTAGGATGGTCCCAGGACTAGAGCTCGTTATAAAGAGCTCTGTAAAGGTTTTGGGGAAGGAAAGGGAGAGTTCTTGTTACTGGGTGGGACAGTCAGGGTTTGAAAGTTGCCTCCTGTGGTTTTGAAGGCTCAACAGAGTGAGTGGTCAGATCTTCTCAGTTGTGCTACAGAGGGCCATTGAGTCCATACAACCAACTCTTTGGGAAGGAGGGGAAATGGGGTGAGAAACAGGAGTCCCTAAACATCTAGGAGTAAGCCTACATGAGCTGCCACTGCCCATTGCTTCCTAGATTGTTGCTGCCCATTGCTTCCTGTTCTCAGTTCCTGCTCTCAGGTTTCAGTGCCCTGTGAGTGGAAAGAGGGATGCAAACTCAACAGTCAAAGCAGGTTTATTTACTAAACCTGAGAGGGATCTCTGTGTGAGTAGAATGGAGAAGGTAACTCTTATAGTCTAAGAGGCTTTTTTTTTTTTTCAAACAGGGTCTCACTATGTATTTGAGATTGACCTGGAACTCACTATGTAGCCCAGGCTGGCCTCGAACTCACAGTGATCTTCCTGCCTCAGCCTCCCGAGTGCTGGGATTACAGGCACGTGCCACCACGCCTGGCTAAGAGGCTTTTTTTATATCTTTTTTTGTGGAGTTTTGAGAATGTGGGTTGGAAAAATGGTGGGCTTGTGGCTTGCTGTGTCCTTTGTAACATGCTGACATATCTTTGGGGGACTGACTGTTCATAACCTGCTGACATATCCTCTGTGACCTGATGACTTGTCCTTGAGGGACTGCTTGTGCCATGCTGATGTGCCTTCTGTAACCTACTGACCTGTCCTCTGTGATCTGAGTAGAATGAAGCCTACATTTCTGTAAGAAGGCCCATGAGCTCATTTGCAGTGGTGGTGTTCCTACCTGGGGTCTTTTGAGTCCGTGTTTGTAGTATATAGTGATTATGTTCATCATGAGGAATTGGTACATGTATACAACACATTTTAATTCTTTTAAGTGTCCCCTTCCCTCCTGGCTGCATCCCCCCCATCTTTTTCTCTATTATATATTTTAGTTTTCATTTATATTTTGGGTTTCTCATGTAAGAACCATGCGATGTATAAGCTTGTGTGCCTGATTTATTTCGCTTAACATTGTGGTCTCAAGGTGCATTCATTTTCCTATGAATGACTGAAGTTTATGGCAGAGTAGTACTCCATTATATATATATATATATATATATCACATTTTCTTTATTCACCTGTTGGTGGGCATGTAGGCCTCTTGTAAGATTTAGTTATTGTGAATTGTGCAGTTATAAACATGAGTGTGCATGTATTACTGTAATATGTCTAACTCTTTGGAAACAATATCTAGGAGGGGAATAGCTGTGTCAAAAGGAATTTCTAGTTTTAGTTTTTGAGAAATCTCTATAATGGTTGAACTAGTTAATAATCTCAGTAAAAATGAAGAAGGGTGCCCCAACCCAGTTTTGCCAGTATTTATTTGGTTTCTTTCTGGAATAGGATGGAATTTCAGTGTGTTTTTTTGTTTTTTTTTTTTTTTTTATTCCGGGGATTGAACTTGAGTCCTTGCGCTTGCAAGGCAGGCCACCGAACCACTGAGCTAAATCCCCAGCCCTCAGTGTTGTTTTAATTTGCACTTCTCTTTTTGATACCAGGGATCAAACTCGGGTTCTTGCACTTGCGAGGCAGGTGGTGGAACCACCGAGCTAAATCTCTGGCCCTTGCATTTCTTTGATGGCCAGCGATGTTGAATGTTGAATTTTCATTTATTTATTGGCCATTTGTATTTTTTCTTTTGAGAAGTGTCTGTCCATTTGAATTGCCATTTTTTTGTTTGGGTTATTTTTGGGAGGTCCAGTTTTTTGAGTACTTGATGTTAGTCCTCTGTCCAAGGACATATGGATAAGTGAGGCATATAGGGCTCCAATTAGCCATGATCAAAAAAATCTACACCTACAAATATAATAGTCAAGATCCTGGGAACCCAACTGGAGAACAAAATACTGCAAGCAGATAGAGAAAAGAAACAAATCACATGCAAAGGAAAGCCCATCAGAATCACAGCAAACTTTTCAAGACAAACCTTCAGGTCAAGGAGAGCCTGGAGTGACATATTTCAAATTTTAAAACAGCCTCCAGCCAGGAGTGATGGCCCACACCTATAATCCCAACATTTGGGAGGCTGAGGCAGGAAGATGGCTGTGAGTTCAAGACCAGCCTGGGCTACATAGTGAGTTCCAGGTCAGTCTAAACTATACAGTGAGACCCTGTCTCAAAAAACCAAAACCAAAATCAACCCAAAAAACAAAACAATACCCCCCCGCAAAGAAAACAACCTCTTATCCATATATCAAATTCTTCCCTTCTGTTTGGGAAATTTTCTGTTTCCCAAGGACAACTCATTAAATCAGTCACAATCCTTTAGCCCAGTTGATACAGTCAGCAACACAATAGCATCAAGCACAGTTTAGAAATTGGCCTTTTGTGGTAGCTAGTAATCTTATCACCTTTAATCATGTAAATTAAATCAAAATTGAGGACCAGCCCAAAATGTGTTTATAGTGAATAAACTCTTCAATACAGCAACTTTACCCTTCAGGATGGGGATTTAGAAGGAGTTTGGAGGAGAGGAATAGATAGATAAAAGAATAGAAGGTTTTGGCCTGGGGATTTAGCTCAGTGGTTCTGCTGCCTGCTTTGCAAGAGCAAAGATTGGATGTTCAATCCCTGGTACCAAAAGAAAAAGCAAACGAATAGAAGGTTTCAAGTGAAGCCAGAGGACACAGGATGATCACGCAAACTCTAGGAAACTGTTGAAGACAAGCAGGAAAGACAGAGTTGAACAAAGACAAGAATAGAACAGTTTAACAGTAATAGGGAAGCTATAAATTGTACTCACTTTCCTTTGAAACTAATGACCATCAGGTGAAGGAAAAAGAGAGAAGAGAAGAAAAAGAAGAAATCGGAATTAGCGTAGGAACAGGAACAAAAAGGGAGATGAATAATAATGTGGGGAGCAAGAGACTGAGGGGGCTAGGAGAAAGGAAAAAGAAAGAATTTGTAGAATTGGAAAAAAATAAAAATTAAAAATTAGAGGAAAAGAAAAAAAATCAAAGAGCCTCTTTCAGGGTGTATCTCTGCTGTCACAATAGACAATGTGGGCAGCAATGTGCAGAACTAAGTCTCAGTTAGTCTCAGCTAGCCAATGGCAGACCCTTGAGATTCATGCTTAATTCTGGTTGCAAGTCCCAAGTTGGTCTTCTAGACCTCCTGCAGGGTTGAACTCTGCAAGGTTCTACTGCAGGTTCCAGCTGCTGTTCCCCTGAAGATAGTCCGAGTTCTGATGTAAGGTGGTGATCTCTCCAATTTACCAACTGTGGAGGTCTAATGTGCCTTTATTGCTGTTGTTCACTTCCATTCTATCTTCTGGAGCTTAGTAAAATGGCCTTCAGGACTCCCTCTGTCTCTGCAGTGTGGATCCAGGTACCGGCACAACCAGAAGGCCCAAGAGGGTGGGGGAATGCTGCAGTGGCGTCTGTGCAACTGGGGGGTTCTCACTGGTCTGTGCCAGTGAAGGCCTGGGTGCTAGAGGTGGAGGAGGAGCAGTGAGCTCCCTGCTTGGCTGGGCAGTTTTCACCCATCTCTGTTTTATCTGTTTTGATTCATCTGTGACCCACTGATTATTCAAGAATGTATTGTTTAATTTCCGTACCTTCTATCATTTCTTTCTTTATTTTTTTGGGACAGGGTGTCACTATGTATTTCTGGCTGGCCTTAACTCACTTTGTAGTCCAGGCTGGTCTTAAACTCATGGTAATCCTTCTTCCTCAACCTCCTGTGTTCTGGGATTACAGGTATGTGCCACTGTGCTTGGCTGCCTTTATTTCTTTTGCCATTGATTTCTAATTTCATTGCAGTATGATCTCATAAATATGTGTGGAAAAATTTCAATTCTTTTACATTTACCTAAGCATCGTTTACGGGCTATCATATGGTCTCTCTCTCTCTTTTTTTAAAATATGGAACGCTTCATGAATTTTCATGTCATCCTTGTGCAGGGGCCATGCTAATCTCTGTATAGTTCCAATTTTAGTATATGTGTTGCTGAAGTGAGCAACTTATGGTCTCTTTTGGAGACAATCTCATGTGCTTCAGAGAAGAATGTATTGTCATTGTTGCGTGGAACACTCCGAAGATATCTATTAAGTCTGTTTGTTGAAAGGATTGGTAACCCTTTGTTACCTTTTTTTGTCTAGCTGATCTGTTTGTAACACTGGGGTATTGAGGTCTCCCAGTATAATCCTGTTGGTGTTTATCTCATTTTTTATGTTTGTTTTATTAAGTTGAGAGTACCAGTGTTTGGTGCATGTATGTTTATAATTTTTATCTCTTCCTGTTGAATTGTTCCCTTAACCAGTGTGTAGTGACTTTCTTTGCCTCTTCTGGTCAGTTTTTGCTTGAAATCCACTGTGTTTGAAATTTAGATAGCTGCTCTTGTTTTTTCTTGTTGCATGGGATCTTGTTTTATATTCTTTGATTTTTAAAAAATGTGTATGCTTCTGTTTTGATTAAATGTTTCTTATAAACTAAATATTGTTAGATTTGTTTCTTGATTCATTATGCCACACTGTCATTTTATTGGAGAATTGAGACCAATGACATTGAGTTATTACCAAAAGGTATTGACTTGCTCATGTCAGTGTATTGTTTTTCTTTTGAGCCCCCCCATCCCTCCTGTTTAACTCCTGCCTGGCATAGCATTCTATTAGGTTTTTTGACAATGTTGATTTGTTGCCTGTAGGGTTTCCTTTTGCAATGCTGGCTGGGTGATCCTTAATTTCTTGTCTTGCTCTTTGTCATCGAAATGCATTATCTGTCCATCATTTTTTTAAAAAAAACTTCATTGGGTACATTTTATATATACATATTGGGGACATTCATCATAGGGAATTTGTACCTGTATATGATATATCTTGCTTCTTTTTTTCCCCATTTCCCTCCCCTCCCTTCAACCTTCTTCCCCTCATTTACAAAATCTTAAAAAAAAAAAAAAAGGAAATAAAATGTGTGTCTAAAAACAGATGAAAACATTTTTTTCCCCTCTGTTTTTTTTGTTTTTGTTTTTTTTTTTGGTACCGGGGATTGAACTTGGGTCCTTGAGCTTGCAAGGCAGGCCACTGAACTGCTGAGCTAAATCCCCGGCCATCCCCTCTGTTTTTAAGTGAGTGTTTTTTTCTTTTTTGTTTTTTTTTTTTTTTGCTTTTTGAGACAGGGTCTCACTATGTAGTTGAAACTGACCTGGAACTCACTATGTAGCCCAGGCTGGTCTTGAACTCACAGCGATCCTCCTGCCTCAGCCTCCCAAGTGCTGGGTTATGGGCGTGTGCCACCATGCCAATCTCAAAGTGAGTGTTTTTTTCTAGGATCCACAGTTTGGAGTCTAGGAAGTCTCAGTTTTCTCTGCCTAACCTTATGGCCTGTGTGTTTGTGAGGTGTGCCCTGTATTCCAGAGTCAGTCTGTTTATCCCAGGTTGTGGCAATTCCTAGACTGAGATGTGTCCTTGCTCATGTTGGTTGATAGGGAAGGCAATTAGACCTCAGATCTGTGCTGGATGTAGGCAGTAGGATTAGGGTTCAAATACTTCATGCTAGCAGGCACTTTCAGATCCAGATGTTTCTAAGCACAGCTCAAACCAGGTTTGTCTTATGTCCATGGGGTGTGAGTTCCATGTCCTTCTTGTTTTGTGTTTAAACTTCTCAGGAGATCTCTTTGTAGCCTGCTTTCTGTCCACAGCTGTTTCCCCTGGCTGTCTTTTACCCACTGACTGTAGGAAGGTAACACTGAGTGATGTTGTTTTTAGTGTTCTGAGTCCCTGATTTAAATATTCAACCCCTTCCCCAAATGTTGCTTGATCAAATTCTCTGATGATATGGTGGCACCAGTGCTTGAACTCTGGCTGTTGCTTACTGTGTGGGAGTCCTCTTGGAGTAAGATCCCACACTTTTTCTTTTTTGGTACCGGGAATTGAACTTGGGCCCTTGTTCTTGCGAGGCAGGTGGCCAAACCACTGAGCCAAATCCCCGGCACTCCCACATTGTATTTGCAGTTCACAAAGGGTGTGGGCTCCACTGCTAGTTCATTTACCTTGCTTCTGGGGAGCCTGATTCTTCTCCCCACAAGCATCAGGAGCTGTTGAAAAAATTCAAATTGTTTCCTTCTTTTCTCTGTTGTGGACCATCTTTCCAATTTCTTGGTAGCTTCTAGTTTTTTTCTTTCAATTCCTTCCCATTCCCAGTGATCTTCTCTTTTTTTCTTTGACAGAGTTTGTGTTTCCAGTGTCTGAACTCCAGATCTTGGGGAGGCTGAATTTTCCTACCTTTCTAATAGTTTTTAGTATTTTCTCATTCTATTGAATTTCTGGAATTTTGATTATGATGTGTCACGGAGAGGTTTTTTCTGGTCTTTTGGGGTGCTATATTTCTCTTGTACTTGAATATTGAATTCTTTCCCTAGACTTGGGAATTTTTCTGCTATAGATGTCAGTGAATACACTTTTTATGCTTTGTGTGCCATCTTTTCCTTTGTCCTTTATTCTCATGACTCTGTGGTTGGTTCAAGTTTATATGGCTTCTGGTCATTTTTAGTATATCATTAAGTTTATGATCTACTGTATCCATCTTATCTTGTATTTCTGACACTCTTTTCACATTGGTCAAATTTGCCATCTATGCTTTCCTTTGAATTTTTCAAATCATGTGTTTCTGCTTGATTTCCTTTCATACTTTCTAATTCTTACTGAAGTGGTCAATCAGTGACATCAAGCCTCGTATTGTTTTGCTTAACTCAGTTTGTTTGTTTCTTATTTAAGCTTAACAGAAATTTTATTGCTAAAATCCTTTATTTGTTTAAATCTGCTGAGATTATTACATTTCTTATGCATTTGTTTATATTTTATATCTTCTTTTATCTCATATCTTTTATCTTGTATTTTCTTAGGTCTGTTACATATTTTCAAACATTTTTATCATTTGGTCTTTGAGTTTTTTTGCCTATAGATATCTCTACATCATTATCCATGGGACCAGCTTTTGTGGGGTGGGATGTAAGGGGACATCTTGTTGCTTTCCTTTTTTTTTTTGGTACCAGGGATCGAACTCGGGACCTTGCGCTTGCAAGGTAGGTGGCAGAACCACTGAGCTAAATCGCCTGCCTTTGTTACCTTGCTTTCTTAGGATTCTGTTGATTTTGTACTGTGGCATGAAGCTCTGTTATGGTAGAGAAACTTGTCACTGCCATGGGGAGTTTGTTAGAATCACTCTGTTGTATGGTTATGTTTGTTTCATATTTGGTTGTGTTTTGGTAGTTGTGCCTGTCTTACTCGGTATAGAGTGTTCTTAGTGTCCATCCTTCTTCTGGGGGCTCGATCCCCAGAACCACTAAGAGAGAAGTAAATGTATTGCACTTATGTTGATGAAACAAAGACAAACTAGATAATGGCATGCAGTAAAAACCAGTTAAAAGCAACAATTATGCCACCATTAACAATAGAAATCAGAATAATAATATAGTTAAAGACAAATCAATTATTGTTATATCACAAGAACTAATAATGGTTGCAACTGTACCATCTTATCAATGGAAGAGATGTTCATTAATATGGTAGACAAACCCAATATTGACATACGGTAAATAACTATAGTTATAATAAAAAGGGAGGGGATGAGGGAGGGAAAAATGAAAAGTAAAATTTGAAAAAGCAAAGGAAGATGGGAAGGAGGAGAGAAAAGTGAGATAATCCAGTGAGAGAGTAAAAGAAAGTAGCACCAGGGATTTAGCTCAGTGGTTCTGCCACCTGCCTTACGAGCACAAGGTACCAAAAAAAAAAAAAAAGAATAAAAGAAAGTTAATATAGTTAGGTAAAAGTAATAGAAGAAGACAAAGATGAAAAATAAAAATAATCAAAGAGAAAGGAAAAAAAAAGAACAACAACAAAAAAATAATCCCTAAACAAATGAAACACCAAAATAAAATGAAAGCATAAGCAAAATGAGTACAAAAAAAATTTTCTTCTTTGGGCGCATAGTTTCTTTCCAGGTCCTGTGATACTGGAACCTACTAGATAGTGATGGAGCGTAATGAATCACAACTAGATACTATTTTGTTCACTCCTACTTTTTACAATGTAACTGTTGAGTCCCAGCCTACCTTTCCCACCTGGGCATGGTTAGTCAAGGTTGTTTGTGCATTTCCTTGCTCCCCAGTTCACTGCTATTTCCCACTAGCTTTAGGCCCAGTGGGCTGGTGAAGTGCCTCCCCTTGCTCCAGAGGTACCTCTGTCCATCCACTGTAGGTTTGTCTACTGTTTAAGTTGAGGAGTATCCATGATGATGGCAGATGGGAAAAGCAAAGGCCATTGAGCTCTGTGCTGGAAGTAGGCATCTGTGTGTGGGGGATGGGTAAAGCAGTCCTTTGGGCTTAATGTCAGCACTGTGAAACCCCACCTCAGAATTTGCACAACCTGACTGGCTTCTTAACACAGAGGGTGGGACCACTGTGTTCTTTACAACCTGAGCTTGCTGCTTCTTAAATGTCTCAAGTGATCTGGCAACTACACCCCTTGACCGATTCTCTCTCTAAGGGCCATCTCCCACCCACTATTGTAGGGGTGACTCCAGTGACACTGTAGTATAGTTGTTCACTGACTTCTGATTTCTGCAGTAGTTGTTAAACAATAAACCCTTTTCCTAAATGGCTTTTGATTATATCATTCTCAAGTATGGTGGATGCTGCAGTGAATTTCTTCACTAAATCTAGTGTGTCATATGGAAGTAGTCAATTTCAGAGTAATGCCCCTTATTGTATTTGTGGCTTATAACCATGGGCTTTTCTTAGGGCTACGGCTACTGGTCTGTTGTTTCTTGGGAAGCTCTTTACCTTGTTTGGGCTTACCTGTGTTTGCAGAGACAAGACCTTCCTGGGGCTGGAGTTAGTGTTTCAGACTTAGTTCTTTTCTTTGTGTTGTCTTCAGTTTCTCTGGCTTATAGTTTTCCTGTGGGCTCTTTCTCGGTCCCTGGAATTCATCTTTTTCTCTATGCTAAGTTTTCAAGTTGTCCAGAT